TGGGGTTGGAGCAGCTGGCATGAAGCTGTCCCACCCCAACTCTACCCCCAGGCTGGTCCTTTGGGCTGGTCTGCAATGGCCCCAAATCTTGCCAAGAAAACCCCATGATAGATTTGCCTTGGGGTCACCATAAGTTGGAAATGACTTGAAGGCACACAATAACAAGAAGAAACAGTGTGGAAGCAGGGTTGGTACATCTTCTTCTTTGTATGTTGACCCAACACGCTTACATAATAAATGAGTAGGGCTCCTCTGTGGAGACAGGCATACTGTTCCTACCCTTTTAAACAATGTTTTGGGTGGATCAAGAATGTGCCACAAATTCATGTAATGCTGTTCCACTATCACCCTCTTTTCCTCCCTCACAAGCTCAAATTTTCTGCCCTCCTTCCTGGGGGGGGGGGGGGGGAGGGAAGAGTTTTTGACAAATAACCCAATTAACATAGCACTATAATTTTTATTTATTAAACTTGTGTCAATTTGTTAACACAAGTTTAATAAATACAAATTATATATTTAATAAATAAGAATTATAGCATTTTCATCTGTATTTTCAGATGTCTTTGAAGTGTGCATTGCTGATCAAAAGTATGTTCCCAAGTCCTCAAAGAACCCAAAAAAATTAGGAAGCAGTTATTTGTTGGATCTCCTTCTCCCATAGCACAAGTTCATCATCTGAGGTCTTTCTCTGGATTTCCCTGTTGCAGTGATTGGAGAAAAGGAGTGTCTTGTTGGTGACAACTCCCTTCCTTTGCAATGCCAATCCTTCCCCCACCATTTTATTTTATTTTACATTATTTCCATTGTATCTTATTACCTTGTTAGCTGCCCTGGCAATGTAAATGCATGAAAGGTGTGGGTTATAAGTGTGAATGAATAAATGGTTCAGGCTCTAAACCAGCAGGAAAGTTAAGAATCATAGCTCAGAGCCTGCTTAAAACAGAGATGTTCCAACACTTATCTTGTTATTTACAATAAAGGCTCTTGAGAAGGATGTGAGAGAAAATTAGTATTTATATTAATATTTGATAATATTTCCCGACAATAAAATTACTGAGAAATCTTGCACAGTGTTTGCCACAAAAGATGTAAGGGATAGCAAGATGCCCCCACACATCCTGCCTTGTCTTTTCTGAAAGTAAGAGTTCTGGTTGTCAAACAAGCAAGACCAAATTAATATGGCACCATGCAATATAGATAAAAGGCAGGGGAACACAGAGGCTGCCTTTATATTCCACTTTCATGTCATTCTTTTTGTCAGCATCTTTCAGTCAAAGCAAACTTCAGATGGCTGCCAGCTGCTAGTGTGAGCAAATGAAGGATCTATGCAGCCTGATGTCCTCCATGTTTACTGAGAAGCACTCTCAGGAAAATGCACATGGGAGTGAGTGAGCTTCCTTTAAAGCAAACATGCCATGGAGTATACTTATATTGCACAACACATTTGTTTATTTTGGTCATTTCTGTTGACTTTGGTGCTGTGAGGTTTACTATCACATACACTGCAAATATTGGGCCTTGGCAA